TCGTTTTTTCTAGTAATCGATATAGTGTACATTTTATTTTTTAACCAAATAAGAACTAAAAGTTCAGATTTTCACGAAATTATATATTTTGACATGACAATTTTTTCGACAACACCGTGTCTTTATCAAATGTAATATTTACAAACTACCTGATACTATATATACCGAAAAATTACAATAAAACCTTAATTAATGTTGTGAAAATGATCTAATTGATCGTTAAGCAATACATTTGAATGTCTCATTTTGTTAAGCTCCATGGCTTCCAATAAATTTAATTTTCTACTTTTTGTGGCTGTAAAAATGTGTTTTTCGGTGTTTAAGTGTGTAGCATAATTAGAATTATATTTCAAAAACCAACAATTTTCTTAAACCAGAACTTTTCCAATGTATCAAACACGTTATATCAAAGACAAGTCAAGGAAGTAATTACTAAGTCCACACTATTTAGTGACAAAGGCGAGTATTTTTTAACAATTATGAATCTACAACTGCCGAAATTATATTCTTTAGTTAAATTACATAAACAAGATATGCCCATTAGACCAGTCGTGTCTTATGTAACAGCTCCAGTAGTCAAACTCAACAAAATTAGTAAATATTTTAAAGTTCCACGCAGACATTAAACCAAAATTTATAATAAAAAATTCTTTAGAATTAATCAACAAAATTAAAGATATCAAAATCCCTTCCAACGCAACACTATTGTCTTTTGATGTACAAAACTTATTTCCCAGTATTCCACCTATGGATGCGATAGATTTAATAGAATTCACCCTCACTCGGAAACAGGTTAACCCATTGGTGAAACGAGATTTGTTAGATTGCTTAATAGTATCTTTAGACCAAAATTATTTTGAATTTAATGGATAGATTTACATCTATAAGGAAGGTGTGATTATGGGAAACCCACTTAGTCCTTTGTTAGCCTAGATTTTTATGGATAATTTGGAAAATATCATACTAGAACATCCTTTAAGTAAAAGTTTTCTATGGTGGTATAGATACATGGATGATGTCTTTGCTTGCTTTGTTGGAACAGACAGACAATTGAATTCTTTTTTAAATTACATTAACCCATTACATAATCGCATAAAATTCCCTATCGAGATTGAACAGGATAACTCTATTAATTTTTTAGACTTAACTATTACGAAAGCGCAAACAGTCATACATAACATCTCAGATCACCCTTATACATTCTTTTATACACACACTTCTTAATACGCCACTCTCAACAGAAAATTACAACAAAGAACTTAATTTCATTAAACAAACTGCACTGAACAACGGCTGCAATCGGTCCATTATGGATAAAGTTATAAATAAAAAACAAATCCAGACAACAGTAAACTCTATTTATCCGAAACCTAATACAGAACGCGAACAATCTAAAACAATTACGTACATAGGAGAACCCAGTGAAAAAGTTTCAAAACATTTGTCAAAATGTGGTGTAAAAATAGCTTTCAGAATTAACAACACAATAGGAAAATTAAAAAAAAAAACAATAAAACGAAATCTCAAAAATCAGGTGTCTACAGGTTGGAATGCGCATCTTGTCCTAAAACTTATATTGGACAAATAGGTAGATCCTTCAAGAAACGCGTTAACGAACATAAAAAAGGGTTTAAAAACAATAATCTAGATTCTAATTATGTTACACACTTGAACACAGAAAGACACATTTTTGACGACAATTTTGATATTTTACGTACAGCCACAACAAGTAGCAAATTAAATTTATTGGAAGCCATGGAGATAAACAAAATGAGACATTCAAATGTATTGATTAACGATCATCAATTATTAAACTTAAATTCTCACAACATTAATTAACGTTTCTGATTAATACATAATAAAAATAATTCTAATGCAAGAAAAGAAGTTGTCCCGACATCTGCCGGAATAAAAGACAACTGAAGAAGAAAAAAGAAATGCGACAGAATATTTGCGGGTTTTTAGCGGGACCCGCTGGATACGGTCGTGTTCGCAACCTTGAAATTTCGATAAAAATTGCGAAATTCAGACGTGATTTGTCACGGATCCCATTTCGAATGCACATACGTTAGATACATTCACCCATTTTTTCGGCCGTTCCGGAACGCTGGACGATCGCTACGTCTGCGTTTGCTAAATGGAAGCAAGACCATTGACCAAAGTATATACTGAGCATAGGTAATGCGCAACAGGAACAAATTGCTCCGACTGTGCGACCAACGCGATTGCGGTTTGAACTAAATAGAAGTAGAAGTAGTTATTATAGAACCAAAAATATAGTGCATTTATTGCTTTGGCGTTTTACGTGTTTTACAGTACCCTAGTCGCAGACATTTCCAGGTAAAACCCATCCCAACAGATGTTTATTCTGCGTTAAATAGACCTTGCCTGAGATGGACCGTAACGAATATTTGTACAAACTTGAAGTTTTTATTTGAAACGTAAATGGGCCTTTTAAATTTTTAAAATCAGGTAACGATATTTGCTCGGCAGGGTGTCAAGGGGATGGGGTTTTGGAGTAATAAACAGTGCGCAAAGTTAATTACGGGGTCGGTTGTAAAAGCACTATATTCCGGGTCCAAGTATACTTTATTTATAGTCCATACTATTCTCCCACTTATGAAAATGCAAATTTATGTAAGAGTATATTAATCACGTTATAATGTGGTGGTTTCTTCAGTATAATGGTCAATAAAAATAACTTACTGTTTATATTAAATTATTTAAAAAATTAAATAACATAGTTTTAACACAATATGTTTTACGAAAACCGAACACACCATAACCATTAAAAAAAAAGTTAAAATAATATTTACTATTAATTTTTAGGGACCGTTGTGTCATATACCTGTTTTTCTGAAAAAATAGAACTTACATTTTACATAATGTTTGAAGTAAAACTGTTGCTAAATTTCAAAGAACTTTTAGAGATCTCTTCTTTAAAATTGTTAAAATTTGATTTATGCATAGGAACGAAAATTTCACAACATATTTCTGATAATAACTTTACAACCAACATGGCCGCGGACAGATCGCGAATAAGTTCGGACGCGGCACAAATATCCCGATAAATCAAATTTAAGTTTTTAACTCAGTCGAATGTTACGCGATATACGTCGCATTGGGGCGATGTAATAAATCAAAATCAACAATTTTAAATACGGTACCTTAATAACATAAATGGGATAATATTAATAATTCTCATCTAGCCGAGAAATTGCTCGGGCTCCGGTCTATAGCGAAAATCGTCGGTACAGTTAGCAGCGATTCGAGCAGGCTCGTCGACCAGAAACGTCGTTGCTAGTACGTATTGGCAAAAGTGTGTTCCACCGTGATAAATATAACAGCGGTAACACATATCAAAAATCGTTTATTTGATGGTTTTTGATTCAGAGACCGCGTGATTTGATCGGCATCTTTTAGGTTAGCTCAATCGTCCAAATTGCTGATTCCTTATACTCGTAGGACATGCTTAAAGAAAATCGCACCATCAAAAGTCTTGTCCGCCAAATATTCTTCTTTACACTTCTCATTTCACGTCTTTTGATGATTTTTTTTTAAAACTGTAATGTCCTTTTGCTCTGTTTAAAAAAAAAGTCAATCATTCTTTTCTGGGTCTAGCTTTGGGGAAAATTGACGACTTTCATTCAAAAGAGAATTTCGCCTTTGCTTAAAATTACACAACAATCGACTAAAGAATAGTCTAGGTACAAGATTATAAAATTGCTAATGTCTCCTTCTTGGATGTTGGTTACAACTTCGGAAAAACCTTCTCTATCCCATGTTATTCATGGTAGCCACTTTAAAGTTAGACAAGTCCCATCTTTAACATTTCTCAGCCATGAGCATTTCAATTCCAATCGCCTCATCGATCTTCGCCAAGATTCAGCCTCATACAGAATGCAGGGTTTGTTATTCAATTCTCAAATCATCAAAGCACTTTTACCACATCGAGTCGGGCACCTCCAAAACATGCTTTTCTGCAATCGCTTCTTGTGCTGTCAAAAATCGTAATTTATTCTTAATGTATGGGAATAAAAAGAAGTCATTAGGTGCTAAATCAGGACTATATGGTGGATGGCTCATCAGATTAACGTTTTTAATGCTCAAAAAGTTCTTTGTTTGCACTGAGTATTTTAGTAGTGTTTATAGTCCACCTTATCACGAACTTGTAAGTCCAACCTGTCTATTCATATTGATAGCTTTACGGAGGAAGAGTTATTGAGAGTGCGACAGGGTTCATACTACTTCCAACTTAGTAAAGTTGAAACAGTATAATGCACAGTTTTAGCGTCTATTTACGTCTTATCTACACAGTAGAGTGCTCTCAGTAAGCTATAATGGATGGTCGGCGCAGTCCGTCGCAACATCCGGCGTGCCTCAGGGCTCTAATCTTGGACCATTGTCGTTTTCGACCTTCATCAACGACCTGCCTGATAAAATTAAACGCGACTTCATCTACTTGCAGGTGATTTTTATATTTTTATATAAATGATTTTTATTCCTACGAAAGATGCCTCAGAGTTCGACACCAACTCTCTAATGTTTAAAAGTGGTGTAAGCGAAATAATCTTACCCTCAACATTTCATTCGTACATCCGAAATCTTCAAACTTTCTTATGGTTCTAAAAATTAAATAATACTTCTTTACCCCGATGTAGCAGCTGTACTAGAGGTTTGGGTGCGACTTTCGATTCACAGCTTTTAGTTGTTCAACACATTGATATTATAGTCAATTCTTCTCTTAAATTGCTCTATTTTTCGTAATTTCTCAGCATTTTCTGGCGTCGCTGCTCTGCGCTGATTAGGTCTAAGCTCGAATATGCTCCCATAATTTGGGCACCATTTTATTTAACTCATATTCAGTCTCTTCAGTACGTTCAAAGACGTAAAGTTTTTTGCTTTTAAGGTGGATGGTGTCTCCCCGGAGAGGGGAGTATTCATAGTCGAGCGCCAGCCGCCCGCTGGTTGCAGATTTCCTGAAAATGTTCATTCTTATTTCATAGTCGAGCGCCCTCCGAATGACGCCTGCGCAGAACGGTGTTTTGATGTTCTAAGCTCTCGCCGGCGGGCGATTGGATAAGTTTATTTTTTTCGTTTCATAGTCGAATTTCGAGGAAAGAACACATGCGCTGTTTAAGCTGAACCGATTGTCTTTCGCCGGGCGACTGGAGCATGTCCCGACATTCTCCGGGCGACTCGCCAGTTGAATTTAAGAGCATAGACTTGCTATAACTATTATGGAAAACCTTTATAATATTGTCCGACTAAATGCAGAAATCGACGAAAATGATGACATTAATTTAAGAATGCCTAAAAGATATATTAGAGATATGCAAAACCCAGTTCAATTTTACAATGATTTCGAATTTAAACGTCGATACAGATTCAGTAAAAATGTAGTTATGGAACATTTAATTAAATTAGTGGAACCAGAACTATTAAAAGTTAACCAGCGTGGTTTACCAGTTTCGCCTTTAATAGCAGTGTTATGCACATTACGATTTTATGCATCTGGAAGTTTTCAGGTAAAGTATTTACTAATATCTATTTTCACTTTTTCTTTCTGTTTTTATTTCTGTACAGTAAATATATTTAAATAAATGTATTTTTTTAATTGTATTAATATTTAATTTTTGCAGCTTACTTGTGGGGATCTTGGAGGAATCTCACAGTCAACTGTGAGTAGAATAGTAAAACAAATTTCAACAATATTTGCAGCTCAAAGTCGTAATTCTATTAAGATGCCCACAACACATGCAGAAGAACAACATATATATGAACAATTTTACCAGATTGCGCACTTTCCTGAGGTAGTTGGCTGTATAGACTGTACGCACATACCAATCAAGAATCCTGGTGGTTTGGTTGCAGAATTATACCGAAATAGAAAACGTACATTCAGTATAAACGTTCAAGTTGTTGCTGGACCATCTATGAAAATTATGGACATTGTTGCAAGGTGGCCTGGAAGAGAACATGACAGCATGATTTTTAATAATAGTTCATTAAAAGCCAGATTTGAAGCAGGGCATTTGCATGGATATTTATTAGGTGACAGTGGGTACCCTTGTTTGCCATATCTTATGACTCCTCTACTGCACCCAGAAAACGACTCCGAAATTTTATACAATTCGAGCCAAATTAGAACAAGAAACATTGTAGAAAGATTATTTGGAGTGTGGAAAAGACGTTTCCCTTGTTTGGCGAAAGGGCTAGGAACTAAATTAGAAACTACTTGCGTGATAGTAGTGGCTTGTGCGGTTTTATATAATATAGGAATTGATTTTGGAGAGAACCTAGATGAAGTTTTGGTGGAAGAAAGAGATCCAAATATACCAGAAAACTTACAAGTAAGGGGAAATGCTCAAGGTTATGGAGTTCGTCGTGCATTGATTGCGCGTCACTTTACAGAATGAAATAGTTTTATTATATTATGCTATTATACATATATAACTATATTGAAACCTATTAACTAACCAAATCTAACTTTATTACTAAAATATATGGCATATTAACAATTAGGCATTACTTAATATAATTTAGAATAATTTTTTAATTAATAAATTGATAATAAATTAATCGTTTTTTAATAAAAGTTGACGTAATTCCTCCCTTTTTATTGATAACTCCACTTCCGCTATTTGCCTTCTAATTTTCGCCTCTTCTCTTTTTTCAATAGCTTCTTGTTTGTTTATTTCGTGGATGTCTATTAAATGCTGTCTTTCTAATTTGGCATTAACAATCCTCTCCTTAAAAAGAGCATTCAAGTCCCCACTCGATTTAGCAAAAACAACTTTATCTTTTTGCTTTGTAATATTTTGTAATATTTTTTTCTCATCCGGATATAGCCTTTTACGAGAAATAGAATCGCTGCTTAAAGGTGTTGGAACTTCTATTTCACGTGAAGCTAGGCTAACAGATTTTATCTGGATGGTGGAGGATGTGGATGGCGCATTATTATCTTCTGGTAATGATGACTGGTCTTTTGTTATTGTATGTGAAGGTTCGGATATATCTAAAAATATATGTAGTCTAAATTCGATTTTTTAAAATAATTTTGAATAAAAATAGTTGCACATAATGAATTTAGTTTTACCTAGAATTGTATAATCTTTTTCTGCTGATTCAAATTTGCCATCTGAATCAAAAGGATTTTCCACATGTTCCGTTAAATGCGGAACAACTTCATCAACACCAGGAATTAAAATTTTATCAGGCATGGATTCACCACCTCCTGTAAGCATTCTCGAACGTCGTTCCTCAGCTAATTCTTCTTTGCGTTTTCTTTTAATTTTATCCCAACAACGTTTTAATTGAACACTAGTGCGCTAAAATTACATTTGGATTTATGTACAATTTATACGGTTATTCAAAGTATGCTTCTGAGATTTGTGAGATAATACCCAAGTTTTAAATACTATTTCCATATTTAAAATTATTTGAGGTGGTACAGTGATATTTACCTTTTCTGTAGTTCGACTTGCGTTAAAGTCGTCTGTAACGCTGGCCCATGCCGCATTCTTTTTCTTAATTGTTGATGCATCTGTTCGCTTATCTTCAATGATATGGTATTTTTTTATAATTTGGACCAATACTTCTTTATCTTCTCGAGTATAAGGAACTGCCATAATTGCATAAAAATTAAAACAAAACTGAAAACTTTTAAAATGACTGGTTCGTCCTAGAACGATTATCGTCGACTAACTGATTTTATTTAGAAATTTTTCGATGCATTAGGTATTATGACCATAACGAAAAGAGGAACATCAAGACCCATATATTTCAACACAACCATAAAAAATGTAAACAAAATTGAATCGCTGAATATGCGCCATCCTCTTCGCCCGCCAGCGATGCGCTGGCGACTGTCTATGAAAAGACCAAAATTTTCTTTCTTCATGCAGGCGCTCGCCGGAAACATTACCAGCGAGCGGTTGTTTTCGGCGATTCGCTGGCGTTCGACTATGAATACGAGTATAATAAAAAATACTCGTATTCATAGTCGAACGCCAGCGAATCGCCGAAAACAACCGCTCGCTGGTAATGTTTCCGGCGAGCGCCTGCATGAAGAAAGAAAATTTTGGTCTTTTCATAGACAGTCGCCAGCGCATCGCTGGCGGGCGAAGAGGATGGCGCATATTCAGCGATTCAATTTTGTTTACATTTTTTATGGTTGTGTTGAAATATATGGGTCTTGATGTTCCTCTTTTCGTTATGGTCATAATACCTAATGCATCGAAAAATTTCTAAATAAAATCAGTTAGTCGACGATAACGTTCTAGGACGAACCAGTCATTTTAAAAGTTTTCAGTTTTGTTTTAATTTTTATGCAATTATGGCAGTTCCTTATACTCGAGAAGATAAAGAAGTATTGGTCCAAATTATAAAAAAATACCATATCATTGAAGATAAGCGAACAGATGCATCAACAATTAAGAAAAAGAATGCGGCATGGGCCAGCGTTACAGACGACTTTAACGCAAGTCGAACTACAGAAAAGGTAAATATCACTGTACCACCTCAAATAATTTTAAATATGGAAATAGTATTTAAAACTTGGGTATTATCTCACAAATCTCAGAAGCATACTTTGAATAACCGTATAAATTGTACATAAATCCAAATGTAATTTTAGCGCACTAGTGTTCAATTAAAACGTTGTTGGGATAAAATTAAAAGAAAACGCAAAGAAGAATTAGCTGAGGAACGACGTTCGAGAATGCTTACAGGAGGTGGTGAATCCATGCCTGATAAAATTTTAATTCCTGGTGTTGATGAAGTTGTTCCGCATTTAACGGAACATGTGGAAAATCCTTTTGATTCAGATGGCAAATTTGAATCAGCAGAAAAAGATTATACAATTCTAGGTAAAACTAAATTCATTATGTGCAACTATTTTTATTCAAAATTATTTTAAAAAATCGAATTTAGACTACATATATTTTTAGATATATCCGAACCTTCACATACAATAACAAAAGACCAGTCATCATTACCAGAAGATAATAATGCGCCATCCACATCCTCCACCATCCAGATAAAATCTGTTAGCCTAGCTTCACGTGAAATAGAAGTTCCAACACCTTTAAGCAGCGATTCTATTTCTCGTAAAAGGCTATATCCGGATGAGAAAAAAATATTACAAAATATTACAAAGCAAAAAGATAAAGTTGTTTTTGCTAAATCGAGTGGGGACTTGAATGCTCTTTTTAAGGAGAGGATTGTTAATGCCAAATTAGAAAGACAGCATTTAATAGACATCCACGAAATAAACAAACAAGAAGCTATTGAAAAAAGAGAAGAGGCGAAAATTAGAAGGCAAATAGCGGAAGTGGAGTTATCAATAAAAAGGGAGGAATTACGTCAACTTTTATTAAAAAACGATTAATTTATTATCAATTTATTAATTAAAAAATTATTCTAAATTATATTAAGTAATGCCTAATTGTTAATATGCCATATATTTTAGTAATAAAGTTAGATTTGGTTAGTTAATAGGTTTCAATATAGTTATATATGTATAATAGCATAATATAATAAAACTATTTCATTCTGTAAAGTGACGCGCAATCAATGCACGACGAACTCCATAACCTTGAGCATTTCCCCTTACTTGTAAGTTTTCTGGTATATTTGGATCTCTTTCTTCCACCAAAACTTCATCTAGGTTCTCTCCAAAATCAATTCCTATATTATATAAAACCGCACAAGCCACTACTATCACGCAAGTAGTTTCTAATTTAGTTCCTAGCCCTTTCGCCAAACAAGGGAAACGTCTTTTCCACACTCCAAATAATCTTTCTACAATGTTTCTTGTTCTAATTTGGCTCGAATTGTATAAAATTTCGGAGTCGTTTTCTGGGTGCAGTAGAGGAGTCATAAGATATGGCAAACAAGGGTACCCACTGTCACCTAATAAATATCCATGCAAATGCCCTGCTTCAAATCTGGCTTTTAATGAACTATTATTAAAAATCATGCTGTCATGTTCTCTTCCAGGCCACCTTGCAACAATGTCCATAATTTTCATAGATGGTCCAGCAACAACTTGAACGTTTATACTGAATGTACGTTTTCTATTTCGGTATAATTCTGCAACCAAACCACCAGGATTCTTGATTGGTATGTGCGTACAGTCTATACAGCCAACTACCTCAGGAAAGTGCGCAATCTGGTAAAATTGTTCATATATATGTTGTTCTTCTGCATGTGTTGTGGGCATCTTAATAGAATTACGACTTTGAGCTGCAAATATTGTTGAAATTTGTTTTACTATTCTACTCACAGTTGACTGTGAGATTCCTCCAAGATCCCCACAAGTAAGCTGCAAAAATTAAATATTAATACAATTAAAAAAATACATTTATTTAAATATATTTACTGTACAGAAATAAAAACAGAAAGAAAAAGTGAAAATAGATATTAGTAAATACTTTACCTGAAAACTTCCAGATGCATAAAATCGTAATGTGCATAACACTGCTATTAAAGGCGAAACTGGTAAACCACGCTGGTTAATTTGATATTCAAGCCTTGGATCATAGGCGGTTGACTGCTGGTCTAATAATTTTAGACAGATTGTTGCATGGTCGTGTCGACTCAGCGTAAGAATTCCTCAAAACCAATTTATTGCGTAAAGTGCAGTAAAAGTACAGTGACATTTTTAACATCGTTTATCTATGTTAATATTAATATGTAACAAACATAACAAAAGTCTTCCTTAGCATTCATCTAACTGAGTTGTTTATATGTAAACAATGTTGTTATTGTAGTTTTCCTTTTCTCGTTTTTTTTTCTCTTTTGTTATATATATATGTCGAGATTCAGCGAGTATATCTTCTCACAAGTTTATTTGACACGGGCGGAGCGCAGCGAAGTTTTTAAATAAACGAGTGAATTAAAAAGTTTACCGAACGTGTTGCATACTATACTTTTTCTACGACTTTTAGTTTTTCTTAAAACAACACGAATGCGTTCACTGACGTGGCCGTCATAATTGACAAACGTCAAAATTCAAGTCGTGGGAAATATATCCGAAAAAATGCCGGAAATGTCCAAAGTGGCTCGCATCCGTGGGAAGCGAAACTTCCGCGGTAAAGTGACGCTTCCCGCACGCTAGATCGGTGTGCAATTAGGTATTTTAGTTTGTTTTATATTAAATACGTAAAATATCGATAAATAATCGATAATTTACCGATATTTCCTGCTTTCGATAGCAAGCTCACTGATAGGGGAGGGTGAGGCACCAACATATTTTTTTCGTTATTGTAATTATAAATCCTGGTCATTTGTACTTTTTTAGCCCTTTGCGTAATGCCAGGGTTAAATTGGCCTCTTAAAAATTATGAAAAAAAGCTGTGGATTTCACTAACGTCTTTTTTTTGTTAAATTCTTTTTAATAAATAATTATAATTATTATATATAACATTATAAATAGCGGGTACGGCGGCCAAATGGGTAAATATAGTTAAAGTTGGTCAAAAATAAGTCCATGGTTAAAAGCCACAAAAAATAATAAAAATCTTCAGTGGACCATATTTTAATATTTTTTATATATCGTCGTGCGTTTTTAAAATTTTCCCTCTATGTTGCTTAGTCTTTTTTCGCTTTTTCTAAACATTTTCGAAAAGACTTCGCGCGAATTCCGATTTAAGCGTCGCACGCCACTGGCTTCCCGCGACGTTCCGCTCGCAATATCCGGTCATTTTAGTCGGAAATATTGCATATATGTATATTTTTAATAATTGAAAAGGAATGTCTTGATGCTATACGCGCGGAAACACGCTATTAAACATATTATGCTGATCGGCTTATTTGTTGTGAGTCCGGGGAGTTTCTACGCAATTCGGATGAGGGGGGGGGTTTCGTTATTATTATACCAGGTGCGTCGCGAAAAAAAAAACGTTATCCGCGGACGTCGACGGTTGCGACGCCGAAGACCGCAAAAACCAGATTCTTTTGTGATTTTTTTTTTGTAAATCGCGCCACGTTGTCCGGTTCGTCTTTGGGGGACCATATTTCGCGAGGACGGGCACCGGGCTATAAATCAAAAGAGGGAAAACACCGGATGACCGACAAAACCTGATTTAACTATTTACATCTTCTGACGGATGCCCCCTGCGTCGGCGGTTGATAAATCGAGCTTGCTGACGTTTCGCCAATTATCCTGTTGGCGTCTTCAGAGCTTCACTGTTCAGTAACAGTTAAGCTCTGAAGAAGCCAAGAGGATAATTGCCGAAACGCCGTTTTGATTCCTCAATACATCCTCAGAACATTTGTAAGTAGTATTCCAGTTGCCTTTGCAAAAAAAAGGAACTGATATTAGTAAGATAGTAAGTTTAAGTAAGTAAGTAAGTAAGTAAGTAAGAATAAGTAAAAATTTTTTAAGAGGGATTTATATTGTGTAGATTTTTCTAGCTACAAGTGTTGGATATTGTCAGTATAATACGAATATAAAAATATAAAATTATCTTAGCGAACCATGAATATTCTGTGAAGTTTGTTTGACTAGCTATCTCTTTCAGTTCGATAGGTAATTTCTTATAAATTTCATGTTAAGATTCGGTCTTAAATTATACTGAATATCTGTATAAAGATATAAAGATTTTAGTTGCTTTTTACATAATTCTTTTCTTTCTGCATCCTAAAGACTCGTTCCGCACTTGGGGAACATCCCCAACAAACCAAGGCGTAGGTGAGACAGGAATAGACATAAAAAATAGCACAGTTTTAACAACGGAAAAGAAACCTAATGGCCTCCATATAACCCCCAGGTAACACAGGAAAAATGCAAGAGAAATTTTTTTTTTTATTGTATGATCTAAAAAAAAGTATTAAATCTTCGACACAACAGTGGGCTGTCATGTTTTTTCCTATAAATATCAGTTAGACGCCAATGAAATGAATTTTTTTATTTTAATTACACGAAAATTATTTTTTTCTAACTTTGCGAAAACACTTTCATGTGAAAAAAAAGGTTTATTTTTGCCTAATACTCTTAAAATATCTGTATTAAATTTTGAAGCTCCCTGAATATCGCCGAATTAATTTTGAGATAAAAAAAATATTTTGCAATTCTGTGTCAAAAGTGAACCCCTTTTATTAAAGCTCACGTGGCACCAATTTCCTCCTTTAGGTAAACCACAGAAGGAAATTTAGCACTTCCCAAGAAGAAGAAATTTGCCTCCACGAGTTGTATTCTTTTTCGCATGTCCGATTTTTTAAAATTTTGATCTACGAACAACCGAAAGCGCGTCGAAAATGCGAAACCCGTTCACCCCGATAAAAATAAACGCAGTTGTCGACCCGAATTGTTATTGTTATTATTGTGCAACGAGCAATAACGAGCGTTATTTTTTTTTATTTTTAGACGCCGCCGTTTTTCTACCGGACAGATGTTCGAAAATAATGAAATTCTTTCGCGGTAATAATCCTTTAATGAGCGTACGGCGGAAAAGAGAAAAAAAGTAGGCGCGCCAGTGGCGGCGCGCATCTAAACTTAAAAAAATATGAATTAATATATCGTGGATGAGTTAAAAAAAGATAGATAGAGAGACAGATCATGATCATAATCCTTTATTTATTGTGAGAAAAAGAACAAAAAAGCCCAATATGCTTATGAACGTATAGTCTAGTCTAAAGCATACTCTAAAATAACTTCTTCAAAACAGTCACCCGTTTTTAAAATTTTAGAAACGTCACGATCAAAACGCGCACGCAATATATTATAAATTTAAACTAACGAAAACAAGACTTATCATAACTTTAATTTACCACTATCGGAGTCAGATCTCTGTTTTTAAACGCATTCATAAAAGAAGGCAAGATATTCACGCCGACAAGTGTCTTTTTTCGCAAAACAGAGCCACCGCTGGTCATTATATACGTTTAAGTCTTCACGTCGTAACTTCCACGTTATGGGAACTATATACAGCGTGTCCCACTTAAGAACTGCACGCCCCTGTAAAATATTAACTTAAAGTAATGGCCAACTGAGACTATTTAACGTAAGAGAGAGAAGTACTATTAGGGATTAAAAAAAAATAATTATCAAACATCACGGTAGCCTGCGGAAGTTTCTTTAAAAAATTAAATTAGCAACGAATTAAAATTAAATACGATTAGAGAGGATTAGATATGACGTTACAACGCTGCATTTTATTTTAATGAAAAAGGGATTTTTGATTCTCATCTAATAATGAAAATAATAAATAAAGAAATATCAAAATCGATTGACGTCCGCATATTGTTTTTTTTTTTTTGTTAAACCATGGAGAAGCGAATATTCGACGGTTAAATTCACTCGCTAATTGATATTTTAACTTTGTTGGCATCTTTCGAATACTAAGATTTATGAATTGTGTTGTTTTAAGGTGATACTAAAAAATAAATGTCCCTTAAAAAGTCTTCTTTATTATTTTTGTTATTTTCAATTAAAAAAATATATATCTAAAAGTACTTCTCGATTTTCCGCCTCAAAAAGCTGACAGTCAGCCATGACTTTAGTCGATGCTATACGAAAAAACCGTTTCATTTCTCTTGATCAATACCTATCCAGCAAAAAATCAAAATTGAGCCGTAAACAAGCATACTACAGGAGTAATGCTTTAGCGAGGGGCCCGCTATATTTGGAGCACCCTGTATTCGAAGCCCATGGAAATTAGTATAGTTCGGTTTTATGTAGTCCTGAATAGAAATGGTTGGCACTTTATACTTAATAATAGTCCCAGTCATCCATGACATCAGGTCAACAAAAACAACGATTTACAGCCTTAAGCGGGGCGAAAACGATATTTAAAACACCCTGTATTGAAACATTATATAAATTGGTATAATTCGGTTCAAAGTACTCCTGAATAGGAATTCGTTGCCACTATATATACAGTGTGTCCAAGATAAGGATGCACAGCATGGGGATCTCGGAAACTATAAGAGATACAGTGTCGGTTAAATTAGACAAAAGTTGCGCATTTTGATACCGAACAAGATCCCGTTTTACAAATTTGAAAATTCCAAGCCGTTCCGGAAATATCCGAGAAAAACCGAAATATTGCGATTTCGTTTTTATTATTTTTTAAAGCTATTTGAAAAGATATGAAAAAACGGAAAACACTTTTCCATTGGCACTTTTTAATCTCTCCAAATTGACGTTAACAAATTTTCATTACAGCGTTTCGATTCCATGGAACCACCATCAACTTTGATTTTTCTTATGGGACGGAAAAAAAGTACACACAGTATTAGGTTGTGCTTTTCATTGCGAATTCAACGATGTACGATACAATACGGTTACTTATGTTTTTATCCAGAAAAATGGCTTTTTAATACATTTCTAGTATTTTATTGTAGTAGGCCATGAGATCCGAACGATGAAAGGCAAAAGAAAATGGTTGACAAGTTCGAGTTAATGTGTTTATTTATTTACTAACTCTAACGGTTCATTTAACATAACAACTAAATCCAACAAGTTAATGAAAAACAAATTCTATA